TGTGTTTTTTATATTAGTCTACCAGAGTCTCCGGGGGAGGAAATGGACTACCCGATCTTCATCTCCATCGGCGACTGGCTGGACTCCATTAAGATGAGTCAGTACAAGAGCAATTTCATGGCAGCAGGCTACAACACATTGGATTCTGTGGCGAGGATGAGCATTGAGTGAGTAGAAGAGCCAAAACATAACCATTATTAAATGGCATGAAACCAAATAGGACCTATCTGTGCAGCAGCAGTGGGGATTTAAAGGGGCACTCCACCAGTTTTACCCATGGAGTTCAGTTTCAGTTTCAGTGATGTGGAGTACTATTCAGACTGTGAATGTCTCCTGTGGCTCTAGGGGGGAGATCAGGGGTATCTCAGTTTCAGCTTGAGGCTTCAAACTCTGACAGAAAGCCTTTGTTTCAAAGTTGGGGTATGGGGTTTTAAATAATTTAAAGTTTTTATCAGGCAGGGATGGTCTAATGAAAGACGCTATCCTGTTGCGTTAAAGGGTTTTTGTAGCATGACTCATACTAGGGGATAAAAGTCAGGATATTTGTGCCTCTGCTACTTTGATTACTACCATTATTTTTCTTACAAGCGCCCCAACTTTATATAGGTGTAATACTAAATTGCTAAAATACCACTTTAATTACATAAATTATTATTTTTGAAGATAAATGTATTTTCTTAAATACAAACTAGATGTTTTGTAATGCATACCAGGTATATGATAATGAAATCCTTTGAAAGACAATTCATTCATTCTTTTCATTTTCAATATAGAATCAACAATAGGAAAAAATTAAAAAAAATATTTTTTTTTATATTTTGTTATTAATTTATGAATCCAACACAAAAAATAACAATAACAGCTTATTTCATGTACTTTAGATTTTATGCTCAAGTCAAAAATAGGAAATGAAAAAATGAGCCATGGACTGAAATTCAGGCACAATGTCAACGCTGAGCTGATTAGAGACACAAGGTTTCGGTCCTGCATCAAATTCTTAGTGTGAAAATAGAAAAACTACAGGGAGTAAGTACTTTACAATTATACAAATAATATAATGCCAAAATCTGTGGAATACAAATTAAAACAGAGAAAGAATTAATAAAAAATAAAAGATCAGATGGACATTGCAGAATACAAATTAGGATGATATTATCCGTTGTTGACGTGTTAATTGTTTCAGCTGTTTTTGAGAGATTTTGTTCCTGTTTGATTGGTTGATAAAGCCCTGTGGTTGTAGTATAAAGAATATTTTGTTTTACATAGTGACCGAAACATTTTGTCTCTAATAAACTCAGTGTGACTGTGCACATGTTCTCACATACATACGATGTGGTGGAGTATTTCAAAGTGAGATTATTTTGTCCATCCTGACATCTGTGCTGAAAACATCCCTTCCTTTTACCAGACAGTGTAAACATTGCCTACACGGCTCAGAGGGTCTGCCTGGAAAAAAAAACAGGCAATGAAAAGTCCTCACAAGTTAAGTAAGTGTTTTGTGTGTTTGTGCGTTTCTGTGCTTCCCCTCTCGGCCTAGAGATGTCAGGCGTCTTGGGGTGGAGCTGATCGGCCACCAGAGGCGGATCATCAGCAGTGTTCAGACCCTCCGCCTTCAGCTACTGCACGAACAGGAGAAGGGTTTCCATGTATGAGGACACCCTTTAACACATCCTGGGATGGACAGATAGAAGGACCAGACGGAAGTGAAGTGTAGACCGTTGGACAGACAGTCTACAGCCTGTGCCTGAGTCTTAACCCCTCATACAGGAGGTCATTGGACAGACCACCACAGCAGACTGCCCCCTGGTCTCCCTCACATCCAGTAGTAACAGACTTTTTCCTACCATACACCCCTTACCCAGTATACCTGGTTCTGCCAGACTATTACAGCCTGATAGACTTTAAAGACTGGCCCAGGCCCTCACTTAGGGGAATGTAATGCCTTGTTGCAGCAGCAGTACTTTGTGTGTGGAGCAACAATATCTAGAGATGTAGATTTGCAAACTTAATCTACTGAATCCTTTGACTTTTTGTTGTCGTTCTTTTCTCGCTCCGAGTTATGTGCTCATGTAGCTGCTATCGGGTGTGCAATCGAAAAGTTTTGTCTTCTGAAAAAAGTATCTTGAAGTATTTTTAATTTTGGAGTTTGATAATTTATCATGGAGGTTTTATTTGCATTGCTTTAGTTTACCCTCTCTCCAGAGAATCTGGTACGCTAATACTTGAAGAAAGACGTGAGAAGTTATGGAGATTTCTTGAATGTTTAAAAGTGTATAGACAATTAATCGATAATTATTATCATAACCTTATATCTATATATGTGCAGTCCTGTATGTGAAAGCCCTAGTAAATCTGGATCTTATTTAAGATGTTTTATTTATTTAAGATTTTTATCCAAATCAGCAATACAGTATTATGCAGTCACCTCAGTATCTCAGAGAGAGATGAAGAATCGTGCAATGAGAGACCTCTTGCTGACGTATAAAACATGAGGCTCACACAACACCCTCCACCTATTTTTATTATCACATGCTAAGCTTGCAGAACTGGATCCGTTGCCTTCATATGAATAACCATACAAGTCTATTCTGACAGTTTTTAGCAACCAGTGTACTCACAGTTGTGTGATAAGCCCGATTTTTTTGGATTGTGAATGTTATACATTGCCTGAAAGTACACAATCTCCACTGTCTTAACATATGAATGTTCACAGAAGTTAGATATACATAGGAGATGTTTGAAATTGTCTGGAAACTTAACGTGGACTTATATGGTTCTTCAGAAATTTGCTGAAATACTTCCACACACACTCAATGTTTCTTTTGCCTGCATACACACTAAATACAGCCAGTGGTTTGGACTTCTGGGACAAAGTCGATTCAAGATGTCAGAGCAGAATAATCCGTCCGAATGGAGCAAAGCCACTGGAAGGATTTCAGAGTGATTCGACTCCAGTCTGTACATTGTGGTCATGTAAAGGTTGTGGCATTTGTGGCAGTATGGGAAACAGGTGTACATAAACGTAGTCTGAAATGCAAACTGTTGGATCTGCAGTAGATGATGTCAAGTTGTGAGACGTTTGCCAATGAAATTGGCATTTTTCTTCATTCTCTAAGTCAGTGGTGAATAGGCCAGACTGCAGAATATAACTAGTTATTTGAGTTGGAGGCAGCAGAAGAAGCTAAACCCTGGTGGATGGAAACCGGAGAGAAAAGGAAGTAGTCTTGTCCACCAGAGAGAGTAAATGACTTTAGAGAAGGCAGAGAGAGAACAGAGAACAGCAGCATCATAACTCATCATGTGTCATTTTACCATCAGCAGTAACGCACACACACGCACACACACACACACACACACACACACACACACACACACACACACACACACACACACACACACACACACACACACACACAGACATACACAGACATACACACACAGTATGCCTTACAGTCTGTTAACCATGCAAGACAGAAACACTTTATAGAGTAGTTCATAAGTTTCAGTGCAGTCACAGGACCTAACCATTAGTTTGAGTTGTATTCCATATTCAAGAGAGCGACCGCCCCTCTACAGCTGTGGTTTTTCTTACAAACTGGGGCTCAATGATTAATGTCGAAGGCAGACTGGATCTAGAGATCTTTCGGTCACAGCGAAATTATGCATCCAGGCCTTCACGAGTTGGAAAGGTGCACGCACACATCCAGACACACACACAGACATACACACACACACGTTTGCGCACACACATGCTCACAGTCACCACCCCTCTACAGAATATGGAGAATATCAGATGCTGTTTGTTTAGCATGTTCTACTGCTGAGCAATGTTAGGACATTCTTTTGTACAAAGTACAAGTATACTTATAATTCTTGTATTTTATTTTTCTATAATTTCCAAAGAGATGTTGTAGATCTTGCACACTGTAAGAGGCAGTTACAGCGAATATTTATTTGCAAATAAAGATGAACAGTTCTGGTGGTTGACTGCTCATTTAATTTTGTTCCGATTTTTAACAAACAAAGAGAATTAAAACAGAATTGATCCAAAGGAGGAAATACAATCTTTTATCTTTCAGGCTGTTGAATGTCATTGTTTTCAAAGTGAAATCTCACTTGGTTAGCCTCATCTCTTTAATTTGCTTTTAATGTATATTTTTGTCAAATACATTCGACTTTTACCACCTCTTCACCTGTCAGTTTTTATAAAGTCGTTCACATGACTGATAACCAAAAGGTGGAGCTGTTGGACCGCTGACCATCTCCAGACCTGCCATGTGAGTCTAAATCATTGTGAAAACTTTCAGAGTGCACACATGATATCATATTGCTGAGAGTTGGTCTCATCCCTCTTTTTAAACGTCATATGTCCCCATTATAGTTACATTTCCAGATAGGGGCCGATCTAGAGAGGTGTAGTGGATTGGAGGGGCATCTACCTCTCCAGTTTGGTGTCAAATGCTGTCAAATGTATTAAGACATTAATTTCAATTAATTCATATTTAGATTAACATTTGGCAAGTTCAATTAAAAAAAAGATAAAGAAAAAATGTATTTGGAAAAATGTCTGAAGATATTTCTATGTAATTCTTTACTGATGTCCCATAAAATATCTTTATTTAGGGTTTTTTCCAAGCAACTCTCTTGTCACCCCTTGAATATTTCTCTAGGCCCACCCCTGTTTCCAGGGTTTATAATAAGTCAATATAAGTTTAAGTTTATAACGACCACATTTTAAGACATTTCTGACCTCCTTTCCTATTTTACAGTGACATTTGTGTGTGTGTTATTTATTGTATTGCACTCAATAAAAGATTGCTTGAATTACTGTAAAACACACTGACTGACAAAACAGACTGTTCATGGCACCAATTAGCTAAGGTAAGGAAAGGTAAGGTGGGGGCCTGGAAAGCTCCACACTTCACGATTAGGTCACCGGGTGGTTCACAGAGCTTTAATTCACTCTAATAGGATTACCTGTCACAAGCTGGGATGCCCAGGCGGCATCTCAGTGCTTGTGACACTACTCACAGCAAGCACTGGGAACTAACACTATTCACAACCATGTTTATCATTGTTGTATGTATGTTTAATTACCAATAGTCAGACTATCTATGGGGTGATGCGTTGAAAGTTTAATGGTGTAGCATCAGTCAAGTCTAATGGGGCTGCTGGACAAACTTTCGGGCTGGCTCGGCCTGAGGAAGAAAGAGGTCAACGTTTTGTGTTTGGGACTGGACAACAGCGGCAAAACTACCATCATCAACCAACTCAAACCTTCTAATGTAAGTGAATGAAACTGGGCCTTATTGTTAGTGTATTTTAACACTGTAAAAACATTATTGTGGAATTTAGAGGTCTTTATGTGCTGTGTGTAGTCCTGTAATGTGGGTACACAAATGTGTTATATATTTCTGATAAATACTGTGAGAAGGTCCTGTCAAAATCTCCTTTATTTCACTGCAATCATTCGCTGATTGCTTGTTTTCAGCATTCGAATCATTTAGGCCCATTGTCAGAAGAGTGGAAACATGTTAGTCAGGTAAAGCCCGTATCATACTTTCCTTATACTATTTCCTTGTTGACATACTTTTGCCGTTACTTGTCTGTTTCTTGTGTGTTTGTGTTTGTGTGTGTGGATGCATGCAGACGCAGGCACAAGAAATAGTCCCAACCATTGGCTTCAACATTGAAAAGTTCAAGAGTTCAAGGTAGAATTCTATATATATGTATTGTGTATTAATTAGTTTTTGACTAGTTTAAAGACATGAAATTAAAATGGGTAATGCACCAATAAGTATGAGTCTAAGCCGTTGTCTCTCTCTCACTCTCTCTCTGCATGCAGCCTGTCTTTTACAGTCTTCGATATGTCCGGGCAGAGCAGATATAGAAACCTATGGGAGCATTACTACAAGTACGAAACACACACAACATGCCCATCACTCATCAAATATTAAAACATGTCACAGTAACCTGACTCCGTGTCAATTATAACCTCTTCCCTTGTCCTCCTCAGAGAAAGCCATGCCATCATATTTGTCATTGACAGTGGTGACAAACTGAGAATGGTTGTTGCCAAAGAGGAGCTAGATACTCTTCTCAATCACGAAGGTACCGAATACCTGCACCGACTGTTTTTACTCCTTTTGTATGAAAATACAGTAGGGATACTGTAGTACCCATAGTTTTTGGTATTTACAGTAAAAAGCATAAGATACATTATCAAGCGTGGTTCAGCGTGGGGTTTTTTTGGTATTAATATTACTATTAGCTGTGTCTTCGGTTTCAGTTCTTAGTATCCTATTGTCTAAATGTCAAACTTTGTGGCATGCAAGGCTCAGAGTTTCTGTGTTTTCAGCCCATTTTATTGGCCACCTTAATTAATAACTGAATCATTTCCAAAAAGATATTGTAGATCTTGCACACTGTAGGAGGCAGTGAATATTTATTCCCAGATAAAGATGAACAGTCCTGGTGGTTGACTGCTCATTTAATTTTGTTTCGATTTTTAACTCGGGCAAGAAGAGAGAATGAAAACAGAATTGATTCAAAGGCAGAAATACCACCTTATATCTTCCAGGCTGTGAAATATCATGGCTTTCATTGCCAAAGTTAAGACAAACCTCACCAATCTTGCTTCACCTCATTGAAGAAATGTTGTTTCCCAGTCCCTTCAGTGGATATGACTTAATTGAAGGTTCATGTGTTTTCAGTTCTACTTTTATTGGCATACCCTCAAGAAAGAAAATGTAGGAATCATTGAAGTCACAGTTAGCTTCGGTTGAATAAAAGCTACTGCTTGACTTCTTTTGATAAACTCAAAATTAAAGCCTTTTATACTCTCCATGTCATGATGTTTTGTTTTATTACCCAGATATCCGCTGCAAAAAGATACCAGTATTGTTCTTTGCCAACAAGATAGATCTGCGGGACGCTATGTCTTCTGTCAAGGTCTCACAGATGTTGTGTTTGGAGAACATCAAAGACAAACCCTGGCACATCTGGTAACATATCTGTCAAATGTTTCCACCAGTCCAAACCCATATTTACATTATTTTCTTCTGCTTCTGTGACCATGTTATTGTTGAATATTCACTCTGATAAAGTTTCTCAAAGCAAAGACAGACTATAAGTTTATCTCCCCTGGAGTCATTGTTCTCATGCTACTTGGATTAAATTGGCTGAACTGAGCCAAGCCCTGTAACATCCCCATCTTCAACATTTTGTGCTTCCAGAGTTACAGCTTAAAGTCTTAAACAGTGACAGTAAACAGAGGCTTGTTCACTCACTGGTTACTTGTCCACGGCTCAGGTTAAACATTAGCAGGAGGCCCAGCAACAAGCAGGTATTCAGAAGCCATGGCTATTTTTAAATATGTGTTTTTTACCCTGTTTACTCATTAGACAGATGGAAGGCAGGTGGATTAAGAGCTAGCCAGATTTGAACATCCAAGAAAAGTCATGAGAAAGTGAATGTGTGCCACGAGGAGATTAACTCCTCTGCATCTTGTTTTTTTTTTAGTGCCAGCAATGCCATCAAAGGGGAGGGCCTACAGGAAGGGTTGGACTGGCTACAAGGTAAGTTTTTAACTGGTTATGAAACAGTCTTAATTTAATACTGATGTCTTTATATGACCTACAAGACCATCATCAAGAATATTGGCTGGTTCTGTATAGTTATTCTTAATGCCTGCCACCAGGTCGGATTCATCTTAAGGTCAATTAAAACATAGCAGTTAAAATACTACAATTTTTGTCCACAGGGGCCGCCAGAATCAACAACACAAAATATAAAATTTAAAACTGGAAAAAAAAGATTGTGTTAAATTGTGCTCAGAATCAATGTCAGTGCTCAAATGTCTAATATATCCACCACCTGTATTATTACATGTCTTTTCTTATATCCACAGAACAAATTGGACAGTAAGTATCATCACGCTGTGTCATGTCAACATGTAAAGTGGTTGTGGTGGTAGATTGTATCTCAGTATCTCTCTGGATGGGATTTAAATCACAGGAGAGCAAAATAAATGGCTATAATTAGCAATAAGGAGAACAATTATGTAACAATAAAATAATAAATCCCATCCAAATGAGGCTTTTGTGTGGTATATACTACAAATCTTTTCAATTTGAATATAAAGCATATGTGTTGTGTACATTTTCTGATCCTATAACCCATTAAAAATATTGTTCTGTTTTTTCTCCCCTGCCAGAGCATATCAAAACAATGAACAAATGAATGACTGAAAAGCCTGCGACCGTGGACACGATGTGCTAACTGGATCTCATTCACCACTTGGGAGTATTCATCACACTTGACGTCGTAGGCCTTAAACTTCAATGTCAAATAGCCCAGTACTTCCAATTATTTGAAAAGAAAACCCTGCTAACGATATAATTTGTACATGACTACTAAAAGTAAGTGATTATTTAAAGCAGCCACCAATAGTTAGTTAACAGTTCTACATTATTACTGACACAAACATGAATGCAGTCTAAATAACATACTGTGAACTCAAAAGATCCTTAATATTGTTTCTGTATACAGTAACATTTACATATTTTTATTTGAAGCTGCTTGTTTTTTTTTTTTTATTCCATGATGCTTTAATTTATTTAATCAACTGAACTTTTTTTTTGAAAATGCTGTCAGTGCTTAATATTGAGCCACCTGAAGGATAATAAAAGCTTGTTACTTGCTGAGTGCATGCAGTGTTTCTGTTTTTGTAAAAGGGCGGCCACATAATGCTGCTAAAAGCTTAAAATATGTAAAAGAAGACAAAATAAAATTGAAAATACCATTTTAATAAACCATACAAAAACAATGTAATCATTGTATCACAACTATATTTACATAGAGGTTCAATGTGAATAAATAATAAATAAATATTAAATACAAATTTACATGCAAGATGTTTTAAGAACAAGATTTTAAAAGAACGAAATATATAAAATTTGTATAAATAACCATACTGTTTGGCAAAAGTAATTAAATAGCTCAGTTTTCAACCAACAAATGCAGTGTTGTTTATAGCATACAGCAAACTCTCAACCAAATAATGCTCAATGTTTAACAACGTTCAAGTCTGTCTTCACCTCCTGTCTTAGTATTGTTGTAAAGGTCCATCACTTCTTTAGTTATTCCCCTTCATTATTGCTGGTCCCTCTATAGCTTCCACATCTTTTTTAACTTTTAAATCTGCGTCTATCACCTATTTGAGGAACATGTGGAGGAATTTAGTGTGGAAGCGAGCACTGGAGTCCAGGAGGATACACAGGGTCTGGAAAGTGTCCCTGTCTTCAAGATGGTTTCCTGAGAACAGATAATGGATTAATGACTTTTTGTATCACTTTTAATTTGAATCTGAGGCATTCTGTGAGCTACTCAGAGGACTGTATAAGGCGGTGAGTGGTTGTCAACCTGGAGTTACAAGATAAATCTGAGGGTCCGTTATATTGTAGGAAAGACAGAGGAAAAGCATTTCTGTATCATACAATTATGGGTTTGTTTGTTTTTTTATCCTTTCTTTAATCTACCTCAGTTAAGAAGTTAATACAAATGAAACACTCTGATCAAGTAGTCTAAAATCAATCCAAGGTTTAGTTTTTTTTATGGCGATTGCCACTTATTTGCTCAGTTTTTAGCTCTTAGCTTTTCATATATTCACATTAGCAGAGTTAAACAGTTTTCTTCTATTATTTCATGTTTTATTTTGACTCCTCCTCCTGTGTGTTGTTTAATTTCACTTCCTGTCTTTGTCTGTTTTCCCTTCAGTTTTGATTGTCTAACCCGCCCTGATTATTTTCACCTGTCTCTCATCCCTGACCTGTGTATTTAGTCGTTCTGTTCCCTTGTTTGTGTCAGTTCATCTTGGTTTTGTCCTTGGCTACTTTGCTCCTGGTTGTTTTTGCTTTGCCTGAAGCTGTTAACCTACCTGCCTGCCTGCCTGCCTGTACCAACACATGCCTCTACCTGTAAGCTCAATCTATATTAAATCACCAAAGGCATCATGCTGCCCGTCTTGCTGCCTGTCTTGCATTTGTGACAGATTGCAGCAGTCCAGATGTATTATTGTCCATGAGCACGGGTGTGGATTAATAGGGATGTAATCAGAAGCAAACAAACAAGGGTTTGCTCTAGGTGACGAAAACACATCCACCTGAGCTGAAAATATTTTCAATAAAATAACGTGGGAATAAAAGGATTTCCCAGAATCTGTCTGAGCTGTTACACACACAGACATCCACCCATCAACATAGACTTTCAAAACAAGAGGCTCCATGCAGCACTTCTCTTCTATATAAAGAGTGACTACTGTATCCATAGAGTACATATATTTGTATTATATTATATAATATTTTCAATTTATAATTGTACATATCAACATCTATCCACTATCTATACATATGTGATTCCCTTGGTTATTTTTCATTCAATAATTTATTATGGTAGCTTTTTCCCACCATTTCAGCTTGTAGTAACTGTTTCTTCATACTTTTATGATTGCAATATCACATTACAGTATTATATAATTCAATTGTTTTTTTATTTGTATAGCTCCGATTCATAACTAAAGTTATCTCAGGACACTTTTCAAATAGAGCAGGTCTAGACCGTACTACTTATAATGTGATACAAGGAACCATTTCTCCACAGGTTCATGTTATCCGTCCCAACTTTTTATCAAGATGAATTTTTGGTGTCAAGACTACGATAATGACTTTCTGAAATTCTAATTTACACTACAAAAGGCTGTCCCACCTTACCTGCAACAGAAAACTCAAAAATCTCCCTGGTGACCTCTGAAAACATGTTCTCCAGTTGTTGGATGAAGCGGAACCTTTCAGGAGGAGAGCTGAAGACTTTGCAGATCTGCTGCACCAACTTCACCGCCCAGGACATGTGGTACCCGTCCTTCTCACACACCTAAAGGTGAAACCAAACAAAACAGAAAAATGCCTTTTCACATTACAAAAATGTTGTAGCTTTACTTAATAGAAGGTCAGGTCCTGGTGACCATGACAAGTCAAAATGAGGCCAAGGTCAAAACAAGGAAATTAAGCATGTGATAAAACAGTCAGGAGAAACAATTACACACATTGTTAACAGAAAAATACCCTTTCCATGATATCAACCAGCCTTCATTTAGTTTTCTATATGACCCTATGAGGAGCTAACAGAATAATTGATCAAAATCAGCACCATGGACAGCACCAGAGGCTCTTGAAGCACACACCTGACAATTAGGGGAAACTGAAACTGTCGCACTAGGAGAGACCTGTCCAATGTATATATGTCCCTGCCTTCTGCCTAGTGCTCATTCCTGACCCTGACCCGGAATGAGCTAAATGAGTCACAACAACCAAGGCAAAGCAGTAGGTGATGAGTTTAAGATGACTCATTTCACATCAACTGTATAATGACTATGTTGTTTAACTATATAATATCAAATCATAGATGATGTCCAATATCTGATTCTAAATTAAAAGCCAACAATGGCCAAACACACTAAGCAGACTAAAAATAAATTAGACTTCACTTGAAGCCAATTCCCATTACTTTGTTCAGCAGAAGATAAAAATTATCTAGTATTCTCACCAGTATGATGTACACGATGAGTCTGGAGATCTCAAGAAGTCGTCCGTTGACGGCCTTGCTGGCTAGAACAGTATAGCAGAGACTGCTGCCACACAGCACCAAGAGACGAGCCACATTCTCCACATGCCATGGCTGGGGAATGACTGGAGGTGATGAGGAGGAAGAGGACAATAAGTCTACAATCACCCTGCATCTTAGACTTATTATTTCTTATCACATGGGGGGCCAAATAAAGTATCTATCTATCTATAACCTTAATATGTGTCTATCTGGGGGGGTGTGATATGAAAACATTTGAGAACCACCGAAGTATGATACCAATTATCTCTTCCAAGATTGTCAGCATCGAATTGGTGGTCCAGTCTTTGACTTCTGGTTTTCCAAAAAGCAGGAGGATGGCCCTGGCCAGGTCCCACAGAGCGCTGTGAGGAAGCCCCCTCTCCACCAGATCCTGCCAACCAAGAATGCCTGCATGGAGGAAAGCACCTCACTTACTAACTATTGTCATACTATACCACATCTCAATGAAAGAGAAACAAACATGAAAAAAAAGGTAACTGTATCTTACCCTCAGGCCTCAGAGGTCCATAGAGGATGAACAGTAAATGTGCCTGGCTGACCATTGGCCAAGGCTTCAGGAGTTGCGTTAGCCAGAACTGACAATCCGGCTGGTTAGGCCACGGGTCCAACAGAACCTGACGACAGAATAAGCGGAGCTGTAGCTCCTGGTACCACCTCACCCCTGAGGACAGGCCAACAAGTAAAGAAAGAATAGTTTGTTTGTATCAAGCCTTTTAAGACTTTCACAAGGCTCAACAGTAAAAGGCCCAACGTCAGTAAGAGGCTGTAAAGTCACCCACAGCCAAAGATCTGACTCAGGGAAACAGAGATTAATATCTTAAATACAACATAGACTTCACCAGTTTTCATCAAATTGTTTAATTTTCTGCATTCTGCTCGTGCCATCAGAGTGATTTTGAAAGATGTAGTAATCACACAGAAAATCCACACTCCAATTCAACTTTAATAGAACAACGTCCTCTCTGAAAGACTGCTCTCCATAATATACTTCTACTCTGTCCTCTTTCGTATTCAATAACATTTTCCCTTCCAGACACTGAAACACGCACCTGGTTTTCCAGTGATGACTGTCTCAGTTTTCTGCAGCAGATTTGTGAGGTCACACAGGAAGCTGAAGACTCTGTTGCACTCCAGCTCATCCCAGCCTGCGATCAGTGTCTGTAAAGTAATCAACAGAACACACCTAAACTAAGGATGTCCCAATCCGATCTCAACGATCGCTACTGGCACTGATCAAGACATTTTTACGAGTTTTATTGATCCCATCTTTTACTTTACTCGTGAGGCTTTCATGCACGGTGCAGCTATTGTCAGCTCTCTCCGCTGTCTCTTTTCCTCCACTCTGCTCAGCTCTGTGTGTGGGTGAGAGCAGAGGCAGCCCCGCCCGCTGCACAGTTTCACCACGGGTGGGGCTGCCTCTGCTCCGAGGAGAGAGCGGTAGAGATTCGACACAACTGCAACCAACACACCACTGCAAGTGCAACAAAACCTCCCGCAAATGAAAACCCAATAAGAGTAATTAATTAATGTAATCCGCACAAAAGATGTAGACGGAAATAAACACTCAGCAAAATACAGTTCATTCAGGTAACTCAGCTAAAGGCTGTAGTGAGAAACTCCCTCCAGACAGAGTAACAGCTTTAATGCAGGCATTGTGTTTCTTAATGCAATGCAGAGCTACTCAACTGTCAGGCATGTACATTGGATTGATACTCAATATTAAATTACTCGGTTTTCAGATACTGGGACAGGACACACAAGTGAAAAATGATTCACAAGTGGCCTGAGATTTCTAAACAATCATATACGGTTGCGTAGGTGTCTGAGGCGATATAATATTGTACAGATGGGATTTTGTGTGTGTGCTGTGTTATGTGAGCTATAGTCGAAAAAAGACTAGATGTAAGGAGGATTTGCAAATGCACAAAACTTATTAGCGCCATAGAAAGCGTCATGTCATTACTACGAGGCTTTAACAACAGAATGTAGTAGAGGAGGATCTCCTGAAGCTTAGAATCTGCATGCAATAATTATCTATCTGCCCTTAGCTGTACCTGGCTTGTGATTTCACTTTTATTAATTTCAATTTCTGTCTTTGTGTGAAGCACTCACCTGGAGGAAGACTCCATAGCTTGAGAAGCCGATGCAGTCTGGTGTTAAACACTGCTCCAACATGAAGCAGGGAATCTGAAACAGATCAGTGGGACAGCTTTTATTTTTCCTCATAATTAGCTGGTTATGATCAATAAAATGTGGAGAGAAGAGAAGAACTCAGTTGGAAGCACATCCTTAAAGTTAAAAGTTGTTAATATCTGATGAAATGATGTACCTTGAAAGAATATATGGCATATATTGCTAAATCGTTTCCCTCATGATTCAACACTTAAAATATAAATATAAAGAATTAACTGCATGTTAAGTGCACGTTCATGCCATTCCATGTTCTTCTCTTTCCTCTGATGCAAACCTTTCTTTTCTACGATGTAAAAAAAAAAAGTGTAAATGTAAAGAGAAACTCAGTAATTCTTACTAATACAATTATTCTGACTCTAAAGCGATGAATACATAACAATGGGCCTCATGCAAGAACCACTCGGATGAACACATTCATTCTAAATTGCTGTTAGCATTGATTTAGGAGAACTTGCGGCATTCACCAATTTTCTCTTAGTTAGAATTTTTTCTTATGCATGAACACAATTTAAGCTAGAAGTCAGGTCACAATTAGTCTGCTATTATCCAAACACAAGTTTTTTCCATATATTGGATTACTATAAACCAATTTTCGATTTCCTATTTAAAATAAAACTTCATAATTACATTGACATCATCCTGTTTGACTGTACAGTCCTAATTATAATACAGCCTAGAGCTAAATGTATCATACAGCCGAACAATATCATCATTAATTTAAATTGGCTATTAATGGGGTTAAAGTTCTCTTCACATTAAGGTAAACATCTTCTGCTGCAATGCCTGACAATCCAACGTCACCTATTATGGAACATGTTCTTTCGTCTGTGATGCAGACTTTCTCTTAACCCCTGCCCGCTGAGTTCATCGATCACCTGGCTTTTCCACTTCTTCAGCAACAGTACGACCCTCAGGTGAATTTTTTCTCACTGGCTGGCTTTAGCAGGTCCTTTAATTCCACACCTGACGCTGTTAAAAATTATAAACTTTCCTTTGTTGATCTCAGAGAGCAGGACTTCAGTCTCCAAACTCGTAAAGTTCTTCTTTTTACTCTTCCGTACCATTTCATAAACACATGGGGCAGGCCCTGTAGCCTTTTATGGTATTTTTGGGGCGTTAGTTGTGCAAATTGTCTATTCTCATGAACGCGTTCCATTACATACAGGTGGCATTCATCATTTTCACGCAGGTGATTTACACAGAAATCGTAAGTTAGGAGTGTTTGCTAAATCTAACACACAACACTTGCATGAGTACAATAAAAAAAAGTGCGAGAAAGTTAAGATAGGAATAGGAAAATGTTCTTGCATGAGGCCTGATACTGATTACTACTTCCTCTCACCTCTCCTTTTCTTACCTGTGAAAACTTGCTAAAGATAAACTTTAACCTGTCCTTTGTTGGTAGCAATAGCGTGCATCTCTTGAACAACAAACCTGAGACATTGAACACAAGAGCACATTATCAAATAATAATATTCTGGTCTTTAAAAGCCCTTCACCTGACAGGGAAGTTTATCCCCAGTACCGTGTGGTGATCTTTAAAATGTATGTTAAACACTGGGAGAGGCTATCAGCAAAATGACTGCCACAGATCAACAGCTTGTTAGTTATATAAATCTGTCATATAAAGTCCGAAGAAGAGCAAAACAAACTAAAACATTCATGAAAACATGAACTGCCACTTACCCAGGTCTCTGTAGCGTCCAACAGTGAATCTCTGTTCAAGACAGGTGGAGCGGTGAAAGCTCTGAATGATCATTTTATTCCTCCAGGCCAGGGTGGAGATGTAGTTCGCAACGTACCTCGTGATCTCCTTGGACACCATGCTGAACACGCTGATCTCCAGCACTGAAAAAACACACACTTTTTATTAATTAAATATGTTATATGTCTAAATTTATCTTTTACAGTGCACTATATAAATTCCCCCTACATCAAAGAAGTTTTAAAAAATCAATCAAATATTAGGACTTAACTCTTAACACATTCTACCAAGTGCTTTTTAAAGTATTACACAACATTTATGGTTAATATACGTATAAAACTTATAGTTTATACTCGATATTCAGAGTATTTGTAACACTTCAACAGCTTATTAGTTGAAACTCAACAACTGTTTTCTGAAATTACACCACTGTGGTTAAGGTTTGGTTCGGTTTAGGCACAAAATACAGTTAAAATGTCTCAATAAACTACCTCCAAATAAAACTTTGAGTACTTATATTTATCCCTTACTGTTTACTTTGTATTACCACTATATGTACATTATCAAAGTCAGCAAAATACATGACAGCAAGAAAAACACAAAACTAAATACTAAATTAATACTAAATATAATTAAATTCAGCTTAATCACACACACAAATCTACATAAATTACAGTTCATATTTGTTAAACACAGTTAAATGACAATGCCACATTATTATATTTATTGTTATTACTATTATTTTGTCACCTACCAGACAGTTCATCCAGGACCAGGTCGAACACCTCCGACGGGAGCTTGTGGAAGCAGCAGCCGCTGAAGGTGCTCTGGCTGCGGGTCACGATGGTTCTGGCTGGCCGGGACCGCGGAGGGGTCCTCTTGTGTAGCTTGGATTTGTGTGTCAGTGTGTACATCCCAACATTTCTGGAGGCTTTCCTCATTGTTACCCACCGACGCTGAATTAAATGTGTTTTAAAAAAATAAATAAAAATCTGACTTGAAAGTAAAAAAAAAAAAAAAAAAAGACGCTCGTTAACTAAAACCTAGCTAACCTAGCTAACGTAGCTAACCTGGACTTGTAGACAAATAACAAGTTTGTGAGTTTATTAACTTTTATATTTAGTAGTCACAGACTGAGACGTATAAGTTAACAGGCATACAAGCTCACGTTAAAGCAGTATACTCACTCACCTAACACTTACCAATACGATTAATGTAGTAAATTAATGAATTAAATAAAGGAAGTAAAAGTCAGCTGCTAGCTTAACTGTCTGATGATGAGTCAACAACGGCGCCAAATACAAGATATTATACTGAGAGTCACCTTTTTATTTATCTATTTATCTATTTATCTATTTATATATTTATCTATTTATATATATACATACTGTCAGTGTAGTCAGCTGAAGTCTCCAAATCAACAAGTATCTCTACCTCCTTTGCTTTGCTGTAAGAAAAGAGGAAAACTATTCAGTATCCAAGTAAGACCTCCCTTTAGGATATAAATATAATAATAATAATAATAATAATAATAATAATATATTATTAAGGTTTTTTACTTTTAATAGACAAAAAAAAACTATTACTAAATAGGCAAGACATAAAACAAAGGCTACAAAAGGTGGATAAGATGTTTATTATGGAAAAAGTTAACAGCTGAAAATGGTTTATAGATATATGGTAAGTTCTTATATCTGTTTATTTATTGTATTCATTTTTATCTTTTTGTGTGTTTTTTTTTTTTCTGTGGTCTTTTGTCTATTTTATGAAATGCCATAAAAGAAAATATTTATTTATAAACTGAAGAAATGTTTGAATTGTATGGCACAAATAAAAAGTATCCAAAATAATAGGTAGGTATTAAAAATGCTATAAAAGTAATGAATAAAGTATTAGCAGAGGCTATTACACCTTAAAATGAAGCAAGAGTTAAATATTCAATGTGTTCAGTATTGCAGTATTTATACTACTAGACGATAGTTTGTTCTGAAATAATAATATTAATACTAATTAATATTATGGGTTTAATAGGTTATCTGGTCTTATATCAATAGTTTTGTTTCTCAACTATCAAATTATAATCCAGCTGTTGATCATAAAGTATATTTAATATAACTTTACCCAGTTATTCAACTATTTTGGCCGATTAGTGACTGTCAGGAACAACTCTTACCTTTCTCTTTAGTATTAGTTCATAAAGTTAGGAGACCTCACATAACTCCCATCATCGCTCCACCCGACCCCCCGCCTGAGCAGAGGTCTAATCAGCCAGAAAGAACCATAGTGCAGACTGCTGTGTATAACCACATATATTGTTGAAAAGATATGTGTAGTACAGAAAAAGTACAGCTTTTCAGACATCTAAAGACACGTCATGGTTTGTGTGTTCCCCCTCCGGCACTGTGCGCAACAAACCAGCTATGCTCAGCAGCTAATCACAGGATTATTCTGCTTAACTAAGACTATTAAGTGTTCCACATTCAAATGGCGTCTCCCACAGGCAGACCTTGGAGAGGATCATCCCTCCACTACAGAGCTCTCACAGAGCACTGAATACTACACAGAGGACCCACGGGAAGGGCCGGGGGAAAGGAAAGGAAAAAAACCCTTGTATACCAACAGGATGTCACGGTAGGTTACACTTGGGGCACAGTGGGAAAGAGAGAGATGAACTGCAAAGGAAGAAGATGAACTTTGGAGGATCACAGAGATAAAAACTGCATTTTTTGAATGACCTCACCTGGCTTTTGCAGAACAGTATGTACCACACACACACACACAATGCACAATACACAGCTCTACTCTAAAGCTATCACCTTTGCAGTGTTGATAGAGTATAGTAGTGCTTTCACTGTTTAAATGACCCTTAATCACAGTTAATGAACATTTATGTGCTTCTACAAGTTGATTTACTGATTTCTTTCATTTATTTCTTTCATTTTATTCTCCATTGTTTGTGCAACAGATGTGGAGGTGCAGAAAGAGCTGATGTATTGAGACAAGAAACAGCACATCCAGTGAGAACAATGTCTCTTCTGTCTTCCTTTGCTTGGCATCGCTGCTCTTGCCTCCGGGTCCGCGGTTGACATCGGCCCTGTTTATCTGTCTAGAGCGACGAGCCAGCACTGGGACTGTCTCTCATGTCATCTCTGACATGATGCTCCTGACGCTGACAAGGGATAACGCTGCTGCTGCTGCTGATGATGATGATATCTAACACTAGCCAGTCACATATCTGACAGTCCTGCAGCACAGACATATTGTTAAGGCAACAGCAGAGACAGAAGGAGCGGGTCAGTGTGGAATCAATGCCAATGGCCCTATTTATCTGGAAGTGTGCCGTCTGGACACCTGTGACCACGGCTCTGTAATCCTCGTGTAACCTTGTCGGTGAGTATTAAATATTAAAAATGTGAAAATTAAGCCTCACAGTATTTCATAGTGTAGATATACAAGTGACAGAGAGTTCTGGATATTACATTGGCTTTCGCTGTTGGATGATTCGTGGGCAAACCGACGTGAAATAAGATGCCTTGTCACAACTTTTGCCTTCGTTCCTATTGTTATTCCTCCAGTGTAGTCGATCATTAAGTAAACACAATGAGGGCTTGTATCTCTGATATTTTAAGAGGCCCCAAGGTCTGATACTGAAAGAGAAATCCGGCCCTATAAACAGCCTCTGTTCTCTCAGGAAGTCAAAACAATGAGCACAGTTTGGTTTGTCTGATTTAAAGGGGCTGTTTTATATTCTTGCTGGGTGTACAACAAATAATAGATCTTTTTTTTAACAGCAGCCATTTTGACATAAACAGTAGGGTAAGCACAGGTGTTACCAATGATACTTATAAAGGTTTCTGTTTTAGGGTGCTGCTGTTGTAGGCCTTAATTAGTATCATTTATAACATCTGTGTTTACCCTACTATTTAATGTCAATGTGGCTGCTGTGAAAAAGGTATATTTTGCATTTTAAGGGGCAAAATCTACTCTTCCTGGGGTCCAAATTATTTGCAAGTTAATTAAACAATATCTTAATTGTTGACATTGTATTTTTCATTATTCAAATAATTAATAATCTCATTATTCAGGATGTGTTTTCACCTGGAAAACATTTAGTTCAAAACATTGAGAAAGTACAAAAGTAAATGCCTAACTACACTAATGAATGTCACGTGCTCTTATTGTGAAAGAGGAGGGTTTTTAGCTGTGGCCTAGAGGGCAGTTTACAGCCATGTGGGTATTTATAAATGTAGATCTGAGTGCCAGGTCAGCGTATCCATAATAGGCATACTATTATATTTATATACTGATATAATTTGACCAGTTGTTCCAACATAAGTCTCTACTGTTTGGGGCCATTCAGGTAGAAGCACTCTGTCATTTAGTCCCTCTCTCTAAATACCCTGCAGAGCTGTAAAAAATGTTCAAAGTTAGTGGTTTATAACAGTACTCTCAGCTTGGGTGGTTTCTGTAAATGTTTAATTTCCTCCCTCTCTCCTTTCCTGAGGGGTGGTGTGGAGCTTAACAAATAGACGCCTGTGGTTTTGCCCTCCAGAGGAGAGCGTTAAATAGGTGAAGCTGAACATTGCTCTCATTAGTTACAGATGCAGTCACCTGCCACTCACCAGAGACTGATGCCAGAAAGTTTCCACAGCTATTTCTGCCCGGGGACACTTGAGGAAAGGCTCAGACTCTGTGACTGGATGTAAACTCGGTGGAATTTATTGTACTTGCTGGGGACCATGCAGATAACAGGAGGAATCCAGCCTCATCTCCAGCCTGCGGGAACTGTAGTTTTGCTCTGAAAGTGTTTCTCTTGTGTGTGGCGATACATTGTTTGTGTGTGTTGATTTTCCTTCCCTTCCATCTGTGGAGCCAATGTACATTTCTGAGCCTGCCTAGTGGCATATGAGACACAATTGTCTCCTAGATACATACCTACATGTTAATCAACAGTGATTTCAAACTGTAACTTTGCACTTTGCAGTGTGAGCATCCGTCCGTGAGAGTAAATCATGGCCAGCATGGCGGTTCAACTCCTTGGCTTCTTCTTGGGGCTGCTGGGGTTTGCAGGAACTGTGGTTGCAACTCTGCTCCCCCACTGGCGCTGCACAGCCTATTTGGGCTCCAACATCATCACAGCCACCGCCTACATGAAGGGCCTGTGGATGGAGTGTATATGGCACAGCACTGGCATTTACCAGTGTGAGATGTACAGATCTCTACTGGCACTGCCGCGCGACCTGCAGGTACAACACACTCACCATTTAGTCCAAAGCACCTTATGTTGTCATGGGAAGATCGACTGAAAGGACCAAAAATGATAATCTAATTACAAGTATTTTAATAATGCGTTAATCGCAGAGTTAGTTAATAGTTTCAGTTAGTTTGGTCGTTTCGGTTTAGCTTTAGTTTTTTATTATTTTCACAATTAGTTTTAGTTTTTTTGTTATAATTTTGGGGGTATTTGTCAGGGGCGAGATTTAAGAAGTTCAGAATATGTGTTATAATACAAATATATGGACTCAAAGTCATGTTGACAGCACAGTCTCAACGATATTTCCTGTATATTTTTTATTTTATTTTAGCACAATATTATTTTAGTTGGTTTACTTTTTTTCTAGTCTAGTTTTTTATTTTTTATTTCAGGTAACTAAAATGTTTTTTGAAGTAGTTTTAGTTTAGTTTTAGTTAATTATAATATCCTCGGTTCATCGTTTCAGTTATTGTTCATGCTTACCATTCTCTAATTTCAGCTTCTCAAATGTGAGAATTTCCTGCTTTTCTCTGTTTTACATCATTATAATCTAAATATGTTTTATTTAAACTATTGTTAGAAGAAAATAAGGAATTAAAAGACGGGTATTTGGACTTTTTCAGTTATTTTTTGATATTTTATTGACAAAACAGTTACTTGATTGAGCCCTAATCATTAGTACATAAGCAATTTTTAAATACACTGATAGATGGACAGAAGTAGCTGTGTGAGTAACCGAAATTATAAGCAATAAAATGGATTTTTGCTCTATTTAGTACACTACACTCAGTGATTGTGTTTCTATTTACTCTTGTATGACAAAGTAGCAACACAATCATGCGGCCCAATGTTTGCTAACGCTAGCAAACTTTACATTATTAAGTCCTTTTGCTCACTTCATGATACTTTACAACTGGTGCTACTGTGAAACTACATTTCAGCATTCATCATTATCCCATAAAAGTTACAGTCTTTAAATGTAAACGGGGTTATATGTAAAACAATGTACACTGAGACAATGTAAACTTGATTTATTGCCAATAACTGCTACAATACAGAATGACGTTTATCAAATGTTTGTCTTTTCTCCTCCACATCAGGCTGCCCGGGCACTCATGGTGCTCTCCTGCGTCACCTCAGTCCTGGCATCTGTTGCTTCTGTGATGGGGATGAAGTGTACCCGTTTCGCCCGCGGCTCGCTAATCAAGTCTCCCCTGGCGCTGAGTGGGGCGATTTGTTTCCTCTGTGCCGGCCTGCTCTGCCTGGTCACCGTGTCCTGGACCACCAATGATGTCATCATGGACTTCTACGACCCTTTCCTCCCCAGCGGGATGAAGTACGAGATCGGCCTGGCTGTGTATCTTGGCTACGCCTCGGCCTGCCTCAGCCTGACTGGAGGACTGGTGTTGTGCTGGAGCAGCAGTGGCGACAGGTCACAAAGCCGTCCCCGTATGCAGAGGAATCAACCATTATCACCTCCCCCCGCCTTCAACCACATATATCCTCCTGCTCCACTGTACAAGCCCCCCGAGGCCCTGAAGGACAATCACGCTCCCTCGCTTTGCTCCCTCTCTAGCAATGGCTATAGGCTCAATAACTACGTCTAAGAATGGAGGAAATACTGACATGATAACTGTGAATGTGAATGATTTGGACAAAAAAGGATATTGTATAGATAAAAACAGTCAATTGAACACTTCATAAACTTAATCTTTAATATCTTTACAGGTGTTTTTGCCTCCTCCATACCTATAAAACAAGTGTGAAAAAGACCAGTCGGTTACAATACAATGTTTATTTTTGCCTTTAATGGACAGGACAGGTGAAGATAGACAGGTAAGGGAGCAAGAGAGGATGACACGCAGCAAAGGGGCCACAGGTGGGATTTGAACCCATGGCCGCTGCAGCACGGACTCAGCCTTGGTACATGTGGCGCCACAACACCGTGTTTGACAAAAAAAAAACAGAAGCATGACGCTTTCCTTTAACTTTAACATGATGAGATCTGAGACACCAACGAAACTCTGAGCCACAGTGTCTGTGAGAGACAGAGCTGAAACCTGTTGACCTGCTGCTGTGCTCCTGAGGAACCAGAAGGTGGCAGTATTTTACAGTAAATAGTCACAGAAGAGACTACAGACATAAATCAGATTCCTCATTCTGTGCTGTTAATGGGTCAGCAATTGTTCTGTCACTTCCTTCTTGTAGCCTACTTTCTTGTTGAGATTAATTCCAAAGCTAGTTAATTTATAATAATGCAGTATCTGTCAGACTTATGGTTGTGGTTACCTTCTGTTATCCCCGGCAGGCAAGTTATTATCATTTTTAATCATTATTATTATTTTAAAGGAAATGGATTGGTATTGTTTCAGTTTTCAGTCTTTTTATGCCAAAGAAAATAAAAAAACAATGCATATTTTATTTAGTTATTACTATATTTTTTCCAGAAGATTAACACAGCTGTAATTAATCACATTAATTAATAGCTGTGTTCCTTTTCATGCTCCACCTATGACCACTGGGATACTTAAATGGAAAAGAGCCATTGTTAACACTATTAGTTCCCACTGCTTTTCCTGATATGACAAGTCAAAACTGTCTGCTGTGACAGAGGCCAGGTGACATATTGACACCTTTTGGCCTAAAATCCAAAATGTTCATTATTTACAGTTTAACCCTCAGGACATATGAGCACCAGATCTAACAGCTGAACTCTGTCCAACTTTAATCTTCATGTACATTTGGATATGTATATGGAAGATTTGAGCAAAGCTTAAGAAAAGCCACTGGATGGCGACAGAGGTCTTTTGAGAGTTCAACCTACAGCCTTCAGTTAGAAGTCCTTTCTATTCATTCAGACTTCATCATTTGTTAGATATACTATAGGCTCACAGTTGATTGTTGATGACTTTTCATGGATGGCACAAACTAGAGAGTCTAGTTCACCATATATGTGAAATGAATTATCATTTGTTGCTGCTGAGTAAGACATTATTTATGACTCATTTTGTGAGGCTGTCTGCCTCTAAAACTACCTCTTACACTGTGGAAGTGTTCTTGAGGCCTTATTTGTTAGAAAACCTTCCAATTAGAGCCGCCCTCTGTCTGGCAGCCTGACAGACTCTAAATTAGAGGACGTGTTACAATTCAAGAAAGTCACTTATCTTCTTTCCCTGCAGTCAGACTAGTCAACATTTCTGTTATGCCAAGGAGCTCATTTATATTGCTGGTAAAGCCACTCAAAAAAACAATTATATTTAGTTTAGAATTCAGTAAAGGGAAATGTTGAGTTGAAGGTATAAGGAGAAAGAAAAGGCTTCACAGCAAAGCAAATTATGATAAATGTAAAATGTTTCTGTTGTGGGCACTTTCCCATTTCAGCACCATGCACAGAGGTCTGAATGCTCATCCTCTATCTCACTGGATGTGAAGTTAACACACTGGATTTGGTAACATGTGACTTAAAGTGGACTAAAAGTGACCCAACAGAATCTCCTGTGAATCGCCATTGATTCTTCCCACTGGCTGGTGCCTGCATGTTTTTAAAAAACGCAGCAAAAGTACCCTCTTGGATGCTGCTATGGTAGATAAAACATAATAAAGAGCCCTCTATGGAGCTCTTTCAGTGGAGAAAATTTAGTGCAGTGCCATATAGGCTGCACTACATACTGGAAAGAGATCTGGAACTGTTTCACCATAAATGCATCCCGACTTTCCTCGCTGGTGCCCCACCACATGCTCAACCAGCCTGTCTCACTGCTTTTCCTTATGACTTATTGTCTATTTATACAAGTTTACAATTTATAGTTGTATATGTTTAAATGTAGAAACTTGGAGTGGAGTGATGTTCTTGGATGGAAAAACAAAGCGCCAGAGTTGCACGCGTAAAGCGGGTCATAACATGATAAAGCAATCCTATGCGGGGCTTTTACACCCTCAACATTACCACCATACCGCACAGCGTTTGCAGAATAAACGCGATGCTTTAATCGCCGAGCAAACGGGGACCTGCGCAAGATCGTAAATCAGGCCTGAAATGTAACCTGACAAAGTAAAGGTCTTATCCATTGCCAATATGATATTATGATATTGGAAAGCTTTCCCGGAGAGGTTGTGCGTCATGCCACTCTCTATTAGGTGCTATTTTCGTCCTGCCCTGGAAGACATTCATCCACCATCTACACACCCTGACAGCACCCAATAAACCCACCACTCCCATTCATCTCCACCCCTCCACCCACCTCCACTCTCGCTCCCCCTCCCTTCTCTTCCCCTCCCTCTCTCTCTCTCTCTCTCTCTCTCTCTCTCTCTCTCTCTCTCTTCAGACGAGCATTGCTGATTTAAAAAAACAACATAGGAGAATTGTGTTTCGCCGTCCAAGAGGATTACTTTGTGGTCCCTTCACAGTTTTCCCCTAAAAAAAAACAATCGTCTCTGACACTTTTTAAAGCTTTTGGAGGCCCTGCTCCTCTGTTTAGACCTGTTTCTCCAAAAGGAAAGGTAAGATCATCTCTGTTTCTGATATTCTCTTCTTTTACTAACATGTGTTAGCTGACTCTAACTGCATTCGACCTATAGTGACATATGTTGATTTAGAGAGAGATCAATAATGCAACACCGGCCTCCTGGAACCATGGTGTCAGCGCAACGGGGAGCTGAAACCCACAGGTTTGATTCTAGTGATGCAGCACATCGGACAGAAAACCTTTATGCCTCTGTTTTAGGTCTCTTTTGGTTAATGGTCCTCAGTTTTTTGACGGTGCGTCGCGTTTGGGACTCATTAATGGACTTTTACGCACGATAGCGCTACAGGAAACAAGCCACGTCTGTCAAAATTTTCACATTAGCCTACAGGGCACTTTTTTAAAACGTGCATTGAAAATTAACGTTCATTGCATGAGTGAACTCGTACAATAATTAAATATAACGCTGTTTGTAATTGAAGTTAGACATTAGACAACAAGGCGCGCGTAAAACAGCCTCAACTAAAGCTACACTGCAACACTAATAATGTGTGAACTCCTCTGATCAATAGCATATCTTTTTCCTAGTTTGGGATTTTTCCGATTCATATGTTTTGAGTTGATGGCACATGATGGATCGCCGGTTGTTCCTCTTCCTTTGCTGCGTGCGTCAGTTGGACACGGTAAGGAATGGCCGCTCTTCATAGCTTTTCACCGTTCAAACATAATCTTTTGTGGTCGCAGTGCTAAACAAAGATCAACGGAGCAAAGGTACGAAAGTATGTATGAATTTTAAAAAACAAAAAAAGGCTTTCATTACCATCTTGTCGGTTGTCTAATCATTTATTGTGTTGGGTAAAAGGTAGAAGATACAAGATCAACGCAAAAGATGTAAAAGCACTTTTGTGTAATTTTTGATTGCCTGTATTGGAGAGACTGAAGTAATTTCAACTCACTGAGTGGAGGCTACTAATAAATCTGACCTAAAATTTCGGCGTTCTTCATCTGAAATGTGGGTTTGAAACTATCCTGGTATTTTTTTATTTTATTTGCAGGGAAATTGGAATTACATTTCTCCACTTTTAATTCCACATTTGTGATTTGAAGTGAAGAAAATAATTTCCAAAACTGGACAAACTGAGTACAAATTAAGTCTTTTATATTTAATAATGTTTTTTGGCTCCAATAAAATGTTTGGATTGTAATGTTGTAAAGTTAATCAGGTTTAGTCATGACGATGCGCACTGAAGCACTGTAAGTACAGTCTGTATTAAGAGACCTGATTAAAATAGTGTGGCACAAATGGTGAGGCTTCTGTAAATTTTACTCCAGATCAAAGTCAAAGTAGAAATGTGTTTCTTCCTTTTTTTTCCCTTTTAAGTTCTCTCCATGAAATTCCAGTCCTCTGCGCGCAATAGCACTTGATCTCGGCGGGAGGAAGCGGACAAAAGGAAGATGACCATCCACGCCGAGGGTCTCGTGGCTATCGTGATCTTCTACCTCCTGATTCTGTTTGTGGGCATCTGGGCCGCGTGGAAGAACAAGAACTCCGGTGTTAGCGATGGCGGAGACCGGAGCGAGAGCATCATGGTCGGGGGAAGAGACATTGGATTGTTCGTTGGTGGATTCACGATGACCGGTGAGTCAGTTAACTACGGAGGGATACTTGGAGTCTTTTTTGGGGGGTAGGTGTGAACACGGCTTCAACATGACCCGTGTGCGCATTCTGTCACAGTGTCAGAAAAAAGACAATAAATCCCACCGACCCCGTCTTTTACGCACGAACAACACTGCCGCCACACATATAATATACGACCACAACTCTCCATATTACATTTCTGAGTACTCAAAGATGCAATAACTGATGACTGAACATCTTTAAATATGTGCTTTAAAGTCCAAACTATCACCTAAGACAGATGCCCCATGAAATATTGGGATTCTTTGGTCCTTGTTATTAGAATAAACGTATGCAACATGGCATGCGTCAAACTTAACTTGTGTGTTTTTCTTGTTTTCAGCTACTTGGGTGGGTGGAGGCTACATTAATGGAACAGCAGAGTACGTCTACCTGCCAGACTATGGCCTGGCTTGGGCACAGGCACCCTTTGGTTACGCTCTCAGTCTGGTAGTAGGTAAGAAACAGTGTCTTTGTGTAAGTCCTTTATTTATTTATACTGTAAAAAGAGTTTCAACAGCATTGAGGTACTTCCTTGAAGAGCCACAATAGTAATTTTGCATGTTTAAGGCCATTTATTACAAATGGCCTGAAAATGCTTTTTCTCATAGATATCTTTATCATCATTTGTACTTTTATTTTTGACACTCTACATCAGTGTAGTGTGGTAATGCCGAATCTGCACGTACAGCTGTATTAACCCACAATAATAACATGACTTTGACAATAAGTTGATATTTATTGGATTGGACTAATCAACTAAAACCAATTTCAAGTATTTGTTGTTTTGAATACTACAGTAAAATACATGTTAACCTGTCCTAAAATACGTATAAGCACTTATGTAACATCGTGTCTAAGAAATATGTCACACATATAAACAGGAGAAAGGCTAAAGTGAGATGAATTGATTCAGGGATTTTAAAGTACACCTACAACAGTCTCTTATGCTATTTTTCTGACAACATTTAGGTGGCCTTTTCTTTGCCAAGCCCATGCGTTCACGTGGATACGTCACCATGCTGGATCCCTTCCAGCAGCTGTATGGAAAAAGGATGGGGGGCTTGCTCTTCATCCCCGCACTCATGGGGGAAATCTTCTGGTCTGCCGCCATTTTATCTGCCCTGGGTAGGTTGTTGGACGGGATCCCTCGTCAGAAAAATGCTTATCTAAATGTATTATGAGCGCCACATTTAGTTGTCTCTTACATCCAGGGCACTTTTCCTCTTCACTCTGATAAACAATTGTGACTGAACTTGTTGTACTGTAGGTGCCACTCTGAGCGTGATTGTGGACATAAACATCAACCTGTCAGTGGTGATCTCAGCCCTGATAGCTATCTTCTACACGCTAGTTGGAGGACTCTACTCTGTCGCATACACAGATGTGGTCCAGCTCTTCTGTATCTTTCTGGGCTTGGTGAGTTTTACTGTAAACATCTACAGGGATAATAGAGGTGACAATGAATTCAAGCACTGGATTGACTTCAGTATGATTAAAAATGGTTTTACCAATATAGACTGACAGCTAAAGCCAAAACCAGAATATTTTATACTAGTCTTTGAGCCGAAAACTATTCAAAGATACCAAACATCAATTCATACACGTGAGATCTGATCAAAACACATTGAACTCATGCATTTATTATGCAAAAAAGCATCATATTTTTCATATCAGAGATTCACATTGGCAGGAACATACAGTACTGATTTACATCTAAAGACATGAGAGGTGAGAAGTAACAGATATTTTGTTACTGTACTTCAGTAGTTTATTCAGGTTACTTTTACCACCTACATTTTACATAAATATCTCTACTTTCTACTAACATTTTCAAGACAGAGTCTTTACTTTAGTTAATCTATGGTAATGCATTTGAGGGGAATTATCAATTTATTATTATTAGTTTGCATCATGCACATCTTCCCAACATCAAGACCAGAGCATGTGCCGCACGACAGACGTAACAAGACGAAAAAGAAAGAGAGGGAGAGTTGACCCTGAGTTAGCTTTTCACAGAAACAGCCAGTAGAAATGTCCTTTAGAGAAACCAAGAGAGTACATTTTACTTTTATACTTAGCTTAGCGTGTACTTTTTCCCTTTTCATTGAGTACAGAAGGTGAATCAGTACTTCTACTTTTACTTCTACTTGAGTAAATGTCTGTACTTCTGCTGCCTCTGAAAGACACTAGTCTTACAGCATGCCTACTTTTAAAATGATATAAAACCTTTTGGAACAGTAGGTAGAACTTGGATCTAATGTCAGCGTCAACAGCTTAGAATAATATTAAAATGACTGATATCTATTTAACAATAATAATCCGATACCTTCCTCTCCATCAGTGGATCAGCGTGCCTTTTGCCATGTCCAATCCTGCCGTGTCGGACATCAGTGTTACAGCCAAGAAGGCAATCTACCAGTCACCCTGGCTGGGGAAGATTGAGCCTAAAGACACATGGCTCTGGGTGGATAACTTCTGTTTGCTGGTAGGCATTTTTTTAAATGCAGTCTATTACTGTAAAGTAAATTGCATGCACATTTTGATTCCGCTGTCAAGTGCTGTAGACAGGAAGTTTAATAAAACATAAAAAGCAGCTAGGGCAGAGGGCTTTTAATTTTCTTAGCACGTAAATAACAATTAAAATATTAAAATTCAGAATGACTTGAAGTAGGTTTCAGAGCTGTGGTGGTCTAGCTGACTGTTGTGCATTGGTTTGGTGTCTGTATTTACTATGGTGTTTCTGTTTCTAGATTTTGGGGGGGATTCCCTGGCAGGTCTATTTTCAACGGGTTCTTTCTGCCTCTTCAGCTACCTACGCCCAGGTCCTTTCCTTCATCGCTGCCTTCGGCTGCCTGGTTATGGCCGTCCCCTCTGTCCTCATAGGAGCTATAGGGGCTTCAACTGGTAAATACACACACACACACACACACACACACACACACCAGGGCTTTTCAAGAATTAAACCTTTTCTGGGGACCACAGCACTGAAACCCTGTTAGTCATTTTGTACCATAATTCAAGCCTGTAACTTCATACAGGCCATTTTTATTTGTCTTAAACTAATATTTGCTTTAGATTTATTTATATTTATTACATTATTTTGTAGCATACTAATACTTGTTTGAGTTCAGAAGTGGGAAATAACAAAGTACAAATACTTAGTTACTATAGTTAAATAGTTTTGTCAGGTATCTGTACTTTACTTGAGTATTTACTTTTTCTAACAACTGTTTACTTTTAACCTCGACATTTTATACACAAATATCTGTAGTTTCTACTCCTTACAGTTTCAAAAATAGGCTCATTACTTCAGGTTTAATGCATTTTTTAATACATTTTAGTTCACATCATCGCACTCCTTCCCAGTATCAAGACTGGTTAGTACAGACGTAACATGAACGAAACAGACATGACAATCAACCCTAGTTTAGGTTTCACTTAGCTTTGCACAGTAACAGCTGCTAGAAAGGTATTTTTTACTTTTATACTTTGAGTATATTTCAACACTTGTATGGCCTGTACTTATTCACTTTTACTTTTACTTGTAAATAAGTTGAATCAGTACGACACTACTTACTTTTTGTATTTTTTCACACAGGTTTCTGTACTTGATTAAAGATTGTGTGTGCTTTTGCCACCTCTGTTTGAGTTGCTTTGTAAAACAGCTTTATTGAGTAAAATGCTATAGAAATAATGAAATGTGGTAAATGGAAGTAAGCCAAGTATTGATTCAGTATTGATCCAAAAGTTACAACTGCATGTGGTTTACAGCTGGATTAGATGCCTACAAATGACACAAAAACTGCAATGTCACTTTTATATTCTGTCTGGATTACAGCTGTTGCACACATCAGACACTGATCCATGAATGATTTGCATACACACACACACACACACACACACACACATCCACACACACCTTCACACTGATTAAGCAGTTAATGAAACATCACAAGACAATCAAAACATCTAGGAATCTGATCCTTTATTCAAACAGGAAAGTATGATCAAAGGGAACACAATGCATTCCAGGGTTGTTTACACCCCAGCAGCCCTTTTTTTTAGATGTTTAAATGCAGCTGCATACAGTATCTGGAGGGTAAACAACATCAGAAGGATCCTGTCACGACAGGCAGAGGAGAGAGCCATCAGACCATGCCGATTTAGTGAATATTACATCTGAAGAGGAGCTAATTAATCTCGTCCGTCTGAAGCTGTTTCATGTATAACGGGCGCTAATCAACCACTGCTTGTAAATATCCAAGAGAGGGAGAGTAGGCTATGTACCTCTGGAGGATGAACAGAAGGATAAATAAAGTGGCAGAAATAAAGAAGGATGTCAGAGGGTTTAAGGCGAAAGAGAAATAGGAGAACAACTGTCGTCCCACTGAATGAAAGAATGGGAGGTTTACATTTATCATCTTGACTATAAGATCTCAGCAACTATTGGATAGGTTGCCATGAAATTTGGTACACACATTGACATTCCTCTCAGGATTTGATGATCCTGTAACATTTCTTGTCGTGCCATCACCAGGTCAGAATTTCAATTTGTCCAATACTTTGGTTTATGGACAAATACTCCCATCAGCCGCAGCTGTACTTTTGGTTTAAGTGCGTATTGTCTGATTGTTAGCATGCTAACAAGCTAAAGTATGATGGTGAACATGGTAAACATGCTGTACCATCATCACTCTTGGACTCTTGTTAAATATTCCCTTTTTTAACTCTAAACCTCCAAGTATTCAGTGTTTCCCGCTGGAAAAATAATACACCTACCTCCATGCAAATGTCTGTATTTAATCAGCTTTAAATGTCTCATTAGAATCGATGGCTTCGCACACACATTAATCATTATTAATGAAGTGATTATTAATCACATTTACAATTAAAATGCAATTAAATCACATTATGTATTCTTAAATACTGGCTCATATTTCATAGTGGGACCAATGGTCCAATAGGCACAAACCAGTGTATTAACCATAGTTAATATTACATGGATGTCGATAAGCATCCATTATTTCTGGCCTCCTCTTACCACTGTGGACAGCACAGCGTCATATTGATAATCTCTGCTGTATTCAAGCACACAGATATGTAAAGCACTTTTGTTTCTCAGCAACTAAAACAGGTGTATCCACAGGGAGTATTATAATAAGGTCTCAAAGTCAAGCCCATTGTCTGAAAAGCTAAGGGATTAAGAGCAGTCTGTGTTTAGTTACGTTGTGTTATTGCCTCACAAAAGCTGCAGCATTGTTTTGTTCGTGTTCAGTCCAATAATTCAGGCAAATACTGGTGTTTTTTTTTTAATTGGCACATAGATAATCCTGATACTTGGATGCAAAGACAATCAGTTCATAAGAAGTCCAAAAAAGCTTTGACAACAAAACATTTTTCACTCTGGTTCCCATTTCTCCTTCCAGACTGGAACCAAACTACTTATGGGTCCCTCCCACCGAAGGATAAGGATGAATCAGACATGATCCTTCCCATAGTGCTTCAGCACCTCTGCCCGTCCTACATCTCCTTCTTTGGTCTCGGGGCGGTATCGGCTGCGGTCATGTCATCAGCGGACTCATCCATTCTCTCAGCCAGCTCCATGTTTGCCAGGAACATCTATCAGCTCGCCTTTCGGCAGTCGGTAAGAGTGCCAATAACGTCAGACATCAGCAGGTTGGCATTTTCATTGTGAACAATTTAGCATGCTGACATTAGAGTTTGGTTAAAAGCTCAGCTGTTCACAGGTACCAACATGGCTGTAGATTGTAGTCATACCTCCCCATTTTCAACCCTGTCTTCTCCACATCTACTGTTTTCTTCTTTACTCTGTTGTCTCTTTCTTCTCTCCTCCAGGCCTCAGATAATGAGATTGTCTGGGTGATGCGCCTCACCATCTTTGTATTCGGAGCTCTTGCCACTGCTATGGCGTTGTTAACAGGATCAGTGTACGGCCTGTGGTACCTGAGCTCCGACTTGGTCTACGTCATCATCTTTCCCCAACTTCTCAGTGTGTTATTCGTCAAGGGCACCAATACCTATGGCTCTGTGGCTGCCTATGTCTTTGGTCTTCTGCTGCGCATTGGTGGAGGGGAGCCCTACCTCAAACTTCCTCCCTTCATCTACTACCCCGGTTGGGTGATCCAGGAACGGGTCCACCACCTCACTGGGGATGTAGAGTGCTTTGTCCAGCAGAGGTTCCCGTTCAAGTCTGTGTCCATGGTGGCATCATTCTTGGCAAATGTGGCCTTTTCTTACCTGACAAAGTACCTATTTGAAAGCGGTACGTTGTCACACAAGTACGACTTCCTGGATGCCGTGGTGTCCAAGCATAGCAAGGAGATCATGGACAAAACCACGCTGGTGAGCAACCATGATAACATCATTCTTTCAGAGATGGCGCCCGTCAAGCAGGCCATCGGTACATCACTCGCTGGGACATTCACCAACACTGAAATCCTCAGTGATGATGGGGAGTCCAGTCCAGAGGCTTTTCACAATGAAAACTAGGCACCAAAGGCACAAAGAAAACTAGAACCAAGGAATTTGAAGAAGAAGGAATAATCAAAAAGGCATCGACATTCTTCAGGAAACTTTCTACTGCCGCACCGGAAACCAAGTCAACAGAAATCTGCTGTGGCTTCCGAGTGACTCCACAAGTTTATTTTATGCTGATGAAACGGTGCCTCCTTCTTTTTTAAGATCCCTTGCCTAGAACCAGGAGGTTGACTGTCAGCCAGCTGTGTCAAACATACCATACTCATTCTTTTTTTTAATCATGACTCTGTGAATCTACAACCACTACAACAAGTTTAATTTAAGTGCTGCTACAGAGATCAGAGAGACTTCCAGGGGAAAACAAAGAGAGACTGCAGTGGACATACAGTGTGTGACAACATCTACGAGAGTTTGCTGTGGGTAATGAGAAATAGTGCAATATCTAACCAACAAACTGTGTCTGTGTCTACATAGCTGTATGTATGTGTGTGTGTGTGTTTGTGTGTGTGTGTGTGTGTGTGTGTGTGTGTGTGTGTGTGTGCGTGGCGTGTGTCTGTGTGTATACGTGACAACAAAGCAGCATCAAGTTAATGCTCCAGAAACTTTTCATACTTTTCGTTTAAAATTTGCGTAGAGTAAACTTATTAATAGAGCAATAATATTTTAGGATCTATGTTGTATAGATAGATATATTGTACTGAATTTGCAAGTTATTGTCATTGTTTTTAACTTGAAGACCAATAGATATTTATTTTTTGGCTTATTTTATATGTGTTCGCCTTGCACTTAATCTTCCTGTCATTCTCGCTGATTCCAGACACAGTAAGTGTCTGTTTAAGAACCCCATACCACTGTAATACAACCAAACCCTTGACTCGCCAAACAGAAGGTTGATATTGGATGATTCTACAAGACCCCAGATTAAGTTCAGAAATAAACATTTGCAACGTTCACTGCCAATATTTATGAAATGAATTATTCCTACAATGTCGCCATGTTGCAATTACAATATGGTTGAGGTATAATCTGATGAATGTAAGTCTCATATTTACTCTCATTTTATCTATCTTTACCAGCTTGTGTTGGGTTTTGGTTATACCCCAATGATGAGTTGAACACTAGGACTTTAGGACTAGGAGTTTATTTGCAAATAAGCCTAACAAAACAGTGCAACTCTTGTACTTATGCACACGGATAAACAAGTGGTGTAATTTCCCTAAAAGTCTGCCACCCTTTCCTGTTATGTACATGCAAATAATACATTTTTTATTAAAATTTTTCGCTATCAACATCTGCAACCTCCATGGCTGAAAAATCAAGCCAACACAGAAGTGCCAAAAATGCAGTTTCTTGAATGGCCACTTGAAGCTGGCTGCAAATGTGATAAGGCCCCATATTATAATATATACATACATAATACCCAACTCTATAGCTAATTTCCCAGTTCACAATCAATGGGTACAGGAGGCGCCTTTTTATATAACTCCCCCGTTAAAATTTTGTTAAGGCTTAAAGTTATTCATAATTAAGGACATTTCCACTTTTAGTGACTGGTGGGTGCCGTCACAGGCGGCTGGTTTCAGAACCCTGGCTTCATTCGGCCCACCTCAACCTTACCCACACTTTCACATCTTTGCTGGCGAAGTCAGTCACTGCCAAGATGGCGACAGCCAGAGCCGACCACACTGAGCTTCACACTGACAGAAATCTATCGGTGACGTCACAGAGAGTATATTTATACAGTCTATGGGCTGGACACAAGGTTGATGAGAGTGAACCAAAAGAGTAAAGTTGTCTGTAGAGCTGAATCGACTGCAGGGTGATAGTTATCTGTCACTTGATAGTCATTAGGCATTTAATCCAATTTCTGAATAAAATATTGATTAGCTTTAAAGGAAGATAATGGTCATATTCTTTTTTGGGGGCTTTTATTGTCTTTCTTAGATAGTAGCAACTGAAGAGCGTCATGAAAGAGGGAATGACGCAGCAAAGGGCCACAGGTTGGAATCAAACCCAGGTCGCTGCAGTGAGGACTCTTTGTACATGCCGGCACGCTCTACCAGGGAACCCTGATAGTGGTCATAGTTAAACATAAATCATCCTATAAGATAGATATCAAAGAAAAACATCCTCTACTTCTTTAAACTCCACCCTTTTGGCACTGAACGCTTGCACTGGACGTAAAACGTGTACTGCAGAATCATCGTGAACAGTATGAATGTATGTAACTCCATATCAGCCTCAGCTTTCATTACACACCACCCTGATGTACACAGATTCAAATATCCAATAACTAGAGTTTGTGTTATATTATTATGTTTTTTTCTGTGTACCTTCCGTGCAGCCATTGGTTTCCATTCATTTCTGAACATTATCAAAATCGATTTGCAAAATCTTAGTTGTTGTCAAATGTATGATTGTGTAGTACATGTTTGAATTAATGTGCATTTACAAATACCAACAATAAAAGCACATATATCGTTCATTTTGCAAGTTCATATATAAATGGATGGAATCCAATGGCAGCCTGGAACGTATGAAGATCTAAAAAAATAAAACTACAGTAAGCTTTGTTTTGCATTAATATACAGTATACTTGATCGATGTAATTTTAAGGGACTGATGTGGTCTTTTAAAACAATCTCACAGAAGATATTTTGAAATATGTGTGTGTGCGTGTGATGGTTTGTTTGCTCAAACTAAACCTGTATTGACTGGCCAGCCACAGCAGGTTAGCGGAGACAGGAAATGATTGTTCCTCCCGGGATGGTGTCAGTAGCACCGGTCATTATCGATCCAGTCCCCAGTTGATTAGCCCTCAGGACGTTTGATTAATGCTGCAAAGAGGTTTGAAACTACAGTTCATAAGGTTTTGTTTTACAGTGTGTTATATTCAGTGATGAAAGTTGAAATGTTACTGACTGAGCACCCTCATACATTTGTTGTCACCTTATATAGTGATTTGTTAAGTGTTACTATTGTCCAGTTGACTGCTCTGTGTTTATCTCCTCTTAGAACTGTTGTGGTTTGTTGGTGTCTTTTTGAATCTATGGACTCGCCTTAATTCAAAGGTCAGCTGTGGAAAATGAGTTGCATAAAGTGACCACTTTTATGAAATCATTTTTCAGTTAAAGGATGAGGCTAGTGATATTCTTTATTTCGTGTTCTGTCAACAGTTAAGACCAAAACCAACAATGTTAAATGTCTGTCTCTCAGTATTCTCTGACTTTCCTACCCATTCATTCCTACTGAAGATGTAAATCTTTAAAAAAGGCAGAGCAGTTTCCTAACACAGTTGGAGTTTTGAGAAAATGTTAGTCAAAGAGGAGTAAATGGTACATTTGTTGGGGCCAATTTTCATGTGCAGATTAATACCCGATAGGTGATCTATCGAGTATTTACCAGTGCTGTAGTCAAGACCACCTTTGTCGAGTCCAAGACAATTCCAAGACCAGGACTAGTCAAGAGATTGATTGAATATCAATGCCTGTTCTAGAACAAGCCACTTTATCAATGGTTTTATTTTGAAGGAGGAGGAAAAAAACGACATATCTGGCCAAGAAGTCCAAGTGCAAATACTTATGAGTCCAAGACAAGTCAACAAGAAAACATATCAAGTCCAAGACCGGACTCGAGTACTACAGCACTGGTATTTACAGCAGTGTAGACTCAGATTAAACTACAGTGCTCAGTGGCACAGACGAACAGGCTACATCTGGCCTTACACACAATAAATGTTACAAATCAATTCATTGTTGATTTGGGTCTTTTCAAGGGATCTGGTGACAATAAGAAAAATCTAGTATAACACCAGCCTTATCCTTTACGGTGGAAAGATGGCCTTAGTTAGTCTTTAGAGTGAAGGGGACTTGATCCCTGTATGCAGCCATATCTGCTGAGGTACAGCGAAGACACACTGAATCCCAACTTGATCTTGTCCTGTCTCTTAAACATTTGTGGGATTTATGATTTGTGAGACAGAGACGTCGGCTTCGAACTGAATGGGGTGACTGCTGGTCTGATGCTATGCAAAGTGTCAGGCAATCTCATTGGACTTTAATGTGAATGTAAACTTTCCTCATCATCAGATAAGCCTCATAATGAGTGTGTCGTAGCTTAGGTTCATTCACAAACCTGAACGCACACAGAAAAGAATCCGAGTCAGCTGTGAACTGACACGTTTGTGGCTATATGTCGTAAATTGCAATGATGCTGTATTTTTGTGTGATAAATGTATATACCAAAAAAAAAGCATAGGAACAAATTAGTCTACTTTTAAATGCAGCATTGAAAATGTTTGTTGAAAGTGGAATTACAGCTATTTATTTATTCATGCAGTGTCTATAAGAGTATAGTTGTAAACATATGTGAGGTCAGTTGAATAAATTATATGATTTAGCACAGTCACGACTTGGTTTTCTCTCTCCATGTGTACATACATGCATTATAGCCTCATACATTTGACAGATTACATTTTGCCTGTGTTTTTCACACACGTCAACATTCAATTATTGTTTTATTTTCGACTGCTTAAGAAGATGGTAAGGTGTGTGTGTGTGTGTGTGTGTGTGTGTGTGTGTGTCTGTGTGTGTGTGTGTGTGTGTGTGTGTGTGTGTGTGTGTGTGTACAGGGTGTGGACTGACTGGTAGAGGGTTTAATCTAGGGGTTGCCGCCTGCTTGAACGCATCAATCAAAACACCCACCTCAGAATATTATAACTGCCAAAACTGTCAGTGCTGTCAATCTCCCTCTTTCACACACACACACACACACACATTTCTCAGATCCCAGCATCGCCACACCAGTCTGACCCCTAACTGATGAAAGAAAGCTTGAAATTGTGTTTTTTTTCCTCACAGTATTAAACTCCACCTCCACAGAACAAATAATATTTCTTTTTGTGGTTGAAAGAAAATTACTTTTTTTTTTTTTTTTAAAGTTCCTTCTTTTACTGTACAAGGTTCAAATTCGAGCCAGATCAGTGCATGTGATGGATACCTGAAGCAGAAGAAGTTCTTTGTGTCTAAGAATAATCACTCTTCTTAAAAGAATGGAAAAAGGACACTACAGTATTGGCAAAACATCAAAACAAGAAATCAGGATAGACAAAAAGAAATAAATGTTGCATGACAAACTCTGTTACTATTGACCAGAGTGCCATATCTGTAATTCCTGACAAATCCCTATTAATCCATATCACAAGCCCATAAACCTTCACAGACAATAGCAGAAGGAAGGGAAATTAATTGTTTCACAAGTAATCTCATTTGTAGGCACTTAACTAAGTCCTAACTAACTCAGTATGCACCAGATGTAATTTTAAATGTTTAGCAGCAACATATAGACGCTTATTGTTCTGTAAAGAATCACAAAAAGCTCCAAGCTGTTGTTTTTATTTGTAATTTTTCACCGTGAGCTAATTATGTGGTTCACTGAGTCATTACGGTTCCATTTAGACACATTTCTACAAAAATCCCTAATTTTTACTAAATTAATTGAGACCGTCATGTTTCAATCTCTAAAACTTATAAAAAGAGTTTTACAATAAGAGAGTTGATTCATGTGTAGATGTTACACCTCTGACTCTCTCTGCTTCCTCCTGTGGGAATCATGTACGCACCTTCCACGCCTCCAGACCAATACCTACCAGTAAGCTATTATTCGGTCTGTAGAAAGAGAGGCATGTGAGCCTTTTATAATAGGTATTAGTTTAAGTGTCAATGAAACCTGCTTCAGTATCAGATGATTTGCCTGCAGGTGACAGCCGTGAGATTGGTCTGATATCTTTAAAATGAGAAGGCTGCATGTTTAAATGTGTTATAATCTCACAACAGTCACTGGAAAATAGTCAGGGAATCATTGTCCATCTGTACAACAGATATGAATCTATTTTCTGTGTGTTTGTATTGACTTTAAGGCATCACAGCCAAGATTCATTCAGATATTGCATCTGGGGATGATCAGAGACACTTAAATGTAAACTATATCTATATATGAAGCAATATACCGCATAGATCTATCTATCAACAAGCATATAGATAGATAATAGATAACCAAGAAATTCTCTTAATCATTTATTTTCCAGTCAATTATAAAGTACATTTAAAAAAACAAATCACAGGAAATGTGAGTATAACATATGACAATACTGAAAAGATACTGACACCTGAGCTCTTTGGCAAGAAAAGCAAAAAGGTATTAAATAATCAAATGAATATTGGCTGAATTCCATTTAGCTGCTTCAGTTTCAGGGTCATGGTATTGTGCATGTTGGCTCACTGTCATACTGTTGTTGCTTTCTGGGACACTTTAACATAACAGAGACATTGTTATTTGTTGTTATTAACACCTGAGCTTTTCTTACTACTACAAGTCAGAATGTCTGCTGTGAAAAAGGTTGTTTCTGTTCCCCTATTGGAATTCTTTCCATCTGTCCATTATTAATTATGACTGCAAGAGCATACTTGTGCATGAAATGGGGGTCATGCTGTACATGTTTCTTTTGCACAATATTTGCAGGAATTAAACAAATTACATTGCCAGATCTGACATTTAAAGAGAAATAATGCATGAAGTTTTTCCTGCCGAAATGCAGCATTTTTTATGTTCTCTGTCAGACTAATAATGCTCCTTAATCTGCTAATACTCAAGTAAAGCCCGGGTGTTAAACAGTAAATATTCAAATTGTGCCTGCTTTGATAAACTGAATATTTATATGTCTTGAAATTGAGAAAATAATGGTGTTTTTTTATTTCATTATGCATTATTTTGGTGTATTTTACTCAAATAAAACAGTCAGAGCAAAGATTAGACAAGTCCTAGAATTAAAAACACACACAATTAATGCTAAAGACTGACAACCCTAGCATAGCTACTCAGTCACTGCCAACACTAAGACTTTTAAGATGCACAATGTGTGCTGGAGAGGTGAAATACCCGTTTGTATAGGGCAAGAACATTGTCTTTGCTTGATAGCGTTCCAA